TGTTCCGTGCTCTCCATTCGCTTCTTGCGATTATGCTCGGACATAACATGGGACCGAATCCGCTTTAAGGTCTCGTCCGTTGTGCCTGCTGCAGCAGTTTGTTGATCACTGTTGACCCAGAATAACGTCGATTTCCCCGCAGATGCATTGTCATTTTTGCGGGTTTTGCGTACCCTGGTGGTTGTTTTGCGACTGGGAGCTGTGGGTGGAGGAGGAGGTGGGGGAGGAGCTTGAGGAGTTGAGGCCACGGCCTGTACAGGGTGTATATTGGGATCGAAGTGGATGGGAGCTGCATAGGGGGAGTGGATCGGATCGGCCGCCCAAGCCGCAGCCGATGGCCGAGACAGCACGGGCAAGGTCTGCTCGTAATCCGGTAAAAGGTCCTTGGCGTTCATCGAGCTTATTTGGACGTTCGAGGCATTACCTATGTTGGAGAAGGGAGCCCTGGAGGTTTAGAAGAGGACAAACTTCCTTTCCGGACCGGCGGGGTAGAAATCACAGGAAATTTGGATTCTTCACATTGCAGAACGAATCATCGGCCCCGCTAAGAGCTCTAGTGAATTCGACAGGTTTATTTTAGATGATTTAGGGCAATTAGGAAGTTTTAGCGGTTTTAGCGGTTTTATGATTCTTTTCGTTGTTTTCATCTTTTCGGAGTCAAAATAGTCTCCCTCCCTTTTTCTAGGACTACAACAACAAGTCGCAAGTTCCAATATCCACTTGACATTGAAAATACGAGGTTATATTCACCGAGCTTGTTTCTTTCTGAGTCAGGTGGCGTTGAAAAGGAGTGATAACACATGTGTACGGACACGATCGTGATCTACTATGATCATCACCAACACCTTCCAAGGTTGAGATTCATAACCCTATATACTAGGTGATCTGCATTTTGGCCCTCTATGTGGTCACGAAATATTTCTAATGGCCAAAAAGCCCTAGACGTCAAGTCAAGATTTTCCCCTGTCAGCACTAGCCTTGCACCTGTTAAAGCGGGCATCGTATAGCCCGAGACTGTGCGACTGCAGTTTCAAAAATTACAACGTTTTTGTTTTTATTGGAGTACTGCCTTAATGTTGAATCTGAGGGAGCTCTCAAGGTAAATTACGTCCATGGTTTGAGATCTACGATATACAATATGCATTGATGTACGTAATAGTTGTACACGGAAACGTCCGTCTACTCGATGTGGGCGAAATTCGATGTGAGGAGCAAGTGGATAGAGCGAATGAGATAGTCAAGTGAAGATAATCTAGCAACGGACGTCGGTTTCATTGTTGGGCCCCTAAATTTAGGTCACGCCGGGGCGCGGGAAGATCGGCACTGTGTCCAGCTGTTCCAACCCGCCCATTGTACCACTCTGCCCACTGTTTTGCCAACCTTGTCCGGTCTGCTGATTGATAAACTGGCTCTGTCGGAAAGGGTTGGTGCTACCAGTTGGGTTAGGCCGCAAGGGGGCTGCTGCTGGGGGTTGCAGACCTTGCTGCGGAGCAGGTGAGGCCCGCGCAAAAGGGTTGGTTCCCGTCCGCTGAGGCTGGATCGGCTGCGCTTGTGGTGGCTGAAGCTGCACCTGCGGGGATTGCGTAGGCTGGAATTGCTCGTTTGAGGGATTATATTGCGTGTTTGCTGTGGATAGTCGTCTCGCGAAGGGGTTCGTGTTCTGTCGCGATAGAGGAGCGGCGGGTGGCTGAGCGCCCGTGGAAGAGTTAAGCATCATTGATTGACGGAACGGATTGGTGTGCTGGGGCTGCAACGGCTGAGGTGATTGGTGTTGTTGTTGTTGAGGGAAAGCGGCAATGCCTTCTTGCGGAATAGGAGCCAATTGCGACTGGAAGCCATACGACTGTGGCTGGGGGGAGTACCCTCCAAACCCAGCGCCGGTTGGCATAGCTTGAAGCGGCGGCGGCGGCTGTTGCTGTGGTTGTTGCTGCTGCCCCCCAAATGGATTATTTGGGTCCTGTGCTTGATAAGGCACTCCATATTGGGTCGGCTGGCCATATCCAGTTGCCAAGGGCTGCTGCTGAATCGCCTGAGGTTGCTGCTGGAAGCCAGTCTGCTGGGGATAGAATGGTTGCTGCGGCTGCTGTTGGAACCCTGTTTGCTGGTACTGCATTGAGTTCTGTTGCGCCATTGGCTGCTGATTCTGCTCAATTGAATCAAAAAAGTCGATGAGATCCACGGGTGGCGGCTTCGGTTGTTCGGCCTGCTTAGGTGGGTTTGACGCCGGCGGGTTCGACATCGGTGTGTTCGACATTGGCTTTGATACATCTGTGGTCGCACTGGCTTCCATGCTCGGTGGAACGCGTACACCTTTCTTGGCCAGGTACTCCCGCCGGCGAAGATCGAAATCAGGATCGTTGAGATCATCCTCGAGAAGGCGCGCCAGGTCCGTAGAGGCATGCTTGAGCTTTGGAATTTCCAGGCGGGTGGCAGACTGGAAATGTCTTGCCACTCCCAAAAACTGTACTACTTCTTCCGTTTGTTTCGTGAACGTCTTGTAGATCGCCAGGGCACGTATGCTATCCGGCCGCGACATCTCAAAGTAGTGTTCTATTGGGGTTCACAGTTAGATCAATCTCAACCTATGCAGGGGCTGCTGACTTACCCAAAACATTGATCGTGCCCTCATTCATCACTGAATATAGAGTCAATAGATCAAGTGTGAGTAGACGGAACGCAGTCAGACTGATTTCGTTCTCAGGCTCATCCGTCAATAGCTATACACTGTCAGCCACAAAGAAGAAGATCCAATTTCGGAATTCACCCACATCACATCGCAATAACACACGAATCTGCTTCTGTACAATTTCCGTCTCCCTCAATAGGCCTTTCTCTACACCTATCCTCTTCAGCCGTCCCGGGCCACTGCGTACATGATCCGTCTTGGTGGCTTCGAACGCCTTGGCACGCGTGATAAGGTATTCGGAATACCGTCGGATATTATGTCCCTGCGATTGGGCTGCAAACACAGTTAGTAAGTTGCCCTTACATCGCTATGAGGGAACTATTAGACTAACCTTCAGAGAAATTGCTAGGTGCGATCTTCTTCGGGTTATCGGACAAGTATCCCAGCGCAGCGTCCTGTTGACCCTCTCGGATCATGAGATGGAGAACGATGAGCGCCTTGAAAACAATGGTCCATGCCGAGTCTCGGAGTCGTAGTTGGAGGGTTCGAAATACCTCTGCGACTCCTGCCTCGCCGGTATGAGTTGCCACGAGGATATTCTCTATGTATTTGGATTTAGGGGCCGCAAGCTGTTCACGCCAGATAGTTAATACTTGTCGCATAGGAAAAAAGTATGAGCTAGCATTCAGACTGACCTTGAGCTTTGTAGCCCCTTTTACTGACTTCTCAAATCCTCCGGGCATGTTGTTTTTGAAAGTCGCGAATCGGTGCCCAACTTCGCAATGGCTCAGGAGAATGTACGTCTGTCAGAAGACAGTGGGAAAAGACTGGAGAGCCTGCTCCAAGAATCAATGCCCTTGTAATGTCCGAGAAAATCTTCAATCATCCGTATCGTTCATGACGTGGCTCATTGAGCCATGCTGTAAGCCTGGGGAAAGTGGGCGGTTTTCTAGGGGAGAGGGTTCAAAGTCCGATCGGAACAGCCGGGTTAGGGATTGGCAAGAAAATAAAATCACAGAGTGAATACGGGCTGAGAAGCAAATTGAGGGATAAGGATAGCAAATAGGAATAATCTCAAAGGAGGGCAAAGGGAGTTCCTGGGGCGGAGTGCATGTTCCTAGAGGCAACCCAAATCGGGACTAGCGCATGTTGGCAGTTCTATGTGCACGAGGGAGTATATGAGTACTATAGTAATTATATCGAACTTGGATATCGGATCGTATATGAAAGCCTATAGGCCATATGGAATCTAGCTGGATGGCAATGCCTTGAATATATTAGTTATTGGCAATAGTACCTAAATCGTATGACCTCGTTTCTATATATTTAGGGTACCATTATAGCATTATACATCAGCAAGACTCATCTGTTTTGATTGGGGTTACTTTATGTTGCAGGCTGCGATCTTACTTATTTATCTTGTATCTAGACGACATTTGCCAATGAAATACGATGTAGATTGCTAGTGACCACAAGCTAGCTGGGAATCATAGCAAAGACGGAACCTACTTTGCACAACTGAGGGAAACACAATAAAGCAACATTTCGTTGTTTTTTTAAATACTTTGATTGGACGGAAAGAGTAAAGAGTAAGATCAAGAATCTCTTTCTAAAGTACAACCTAACTAGGTAATTAGAAGACTACCTACATATGTAGGTACTAGTATTTTGAGTTGTAGATCTAGGGTTTCATACTTGAGTATATATGCCCTCCAGATACTTCAATACTAGAACTAAGCCACTCATAAGTGAGAACAAAGTCGTATATTCTCGGATTGGTCAATTACCAAAGTACTCATTTTTAGCCTGAAAAGTAGTCCGAGATTGGCAAAATACGTACATACGTACCTATATAGAGTGAGATCTTCAACTTCTACCTTACCTCAACATGAGAGGAAATTTTAAAAGAGATACGTTATAAGACAAGATCACTCTTTGGGCTAAAATAGTAAATTGGCTTCGCTCTTCGCTAGCTCCTTGGAAGAAAGGTATAGTCGCATACATGGGACCAAAGATATTCCCAAAATGTTCGAGGGATAAGCTGGACATCTCTCTTCTCTCTTCCAAGTCGAACCTACGCCTGCGAACAGAATTGATTTCACGAACGGAATTGATTCCACAGTGTTCGAGCTAGTAGAAATTGTTAGTGAATATTGATAGGCTTATTTCGTCCCAGCCTCAAGATTACCTGCACTCCTTCTCTTACTTTTTCTCTCTTCTTCCTACCCTTGTGACTTTCATTCTTCAATCATCCCCCTCATCTTCTGGTCAAGTCCTCGGCCATCCTCAATAAGCTTGCATCCCTCCCATAAGTTACCTTTACAGCCTTGCGACTGTCTGAGACATTGTCCCCTGCCTTTCTCTTTCACTGAAAATGGAGAACCACAACCACCTCAAAAGACCAAAGCTAAGATGGGACATCCCAATGCGCCAGGCCCTTTGTTGTCTGTACCGGTTTTTCCGATGCGACAGAAAACAGAAAGAGGAGATATTCTTCTCGATGTTCCGAGACTATCTGAGAAGACGTGGAATTCACCGGTTCGTTCCAGGTAGAACACTCGACGCACAGTGGAACTGGATGAGAAGCACTGGCGATCTTGTCTGGTCTCATGTCCATCGGGATACCCAGTTCAACATGGACGGAGAATGGAAGGGCGTCATCCAACGCATCAAGGCCACAGCAGTCACTCTCCGTCTTCCTCTTCTCGAGAAGCGCGCAGATGACATTGACACGAGTCAATGGGGGAAGCGAGTAGCAACGACCTTGGGACCGAGACCCAGAACTGAATCCCCACTGCAGACGCCCCAGAGCGTGCCATTCCCACTGCACCAGCGAAGCGAACAGGAAACAAGTCGCTTTTTCTCCGAAAGAGATCATCAAAGTAGTGAGAGTGACACAATCTCTGTCGGCCACAATCAAGAACGAACCGACCACCTGCAACAGACCGGCAACGTGGAACAGACCGATCACCCGAGAAATGGTGACTCGGTTGTTACTAGCCATGGGAAGATTTGTCTCTGGTGCGGCCACGGATTGACTCTCGACGAGACATATGGTCCCGATGACCAGAGCCTGCACACTCATCCTGACCAAACCAAAGTCCATGACCAAAGCCGACAGTCCCAGGGTCGGCACCAAGAGCACCAAGATTGGGACCAGCAGGATCATCACCACGGACAACAACCCCAAGATCAGCATGAAGAACAACAGGATCAACAGGATCAACCACAAGACCAACTGCAAAATCAACTGCAAAATCAACTTGAAAATCAACTGCAAAATCAACTGCGAAATCAACTGCAAGAACACCAAGGTTGGGCCCCGCACCATCATGAGCGAGGCCAACAGCACCCCCATAGACAAGGCCATCACCACGACCATGAAACGGCCATGCAAGGGGTCCCCGTCGACAAAATGCCACCATTGCTGTTTCGGTGGTCAAACCGTGACTCGCAAGGAGTCAACTCCAAGACCATTTTCCTAGCCGGTCTTTTCTGCAACGGTGAATGGTTCAACCCGGAAGACTTCTCCGAGGACCGATTCGAAAGCTTCTTTCGGAGCCATGTCACAAAGCAGGAGGTCGAGACCCCGTTTATCTCGACATTTCGCTCTCCATTGGCACCACTTCACCGTGCCATTGCTGGCCGAAAAGGTGCTATACTGACGGTGATTGACACCTCAAAGCTGGACACCAAAGTCTTTTATGCGTGTCCGCTTGCAATTCGAACAAGGACCCTAACCTACAGCTGGAAGGGTTACGGGGAGTACCTAATCTGGGGCCGTGTCGCAACAGATGCAATTGCCTTCAGCGTGGAAATTACATGTGTCGAGGACATCGCACAGTCCCACCGCGATGTCGGTCGCTTGCTTCAGATTCCACTTATCCGCAGCGTTCCACGCTGCAATCAGAAGCTGCGGGAGATGTTGGCGGCAAAAAGGAAGTCGCCTTTTAAGTCTGGTAGGACACTTGGAAAGTTGTTGACTCTCCTTGAAGTTCCAACGATCCACTGGGACAACATAGCATTTAGGTTCGCCAAATCATGGGGTTGGATGTACAAGAAAGAAACTGCTCTGTTTCACAGCGGTCTGCGAAGTGCACCACCCTATCTGCCCGAGGAGCTGTCAGATTCGGAAAGTGAGGGCCCATTGCCCGCACCTCAAAAGACACCTGGGAGGATCCCCAAAAAGATGCATTTCCGATCTGACTCTGCTTCCGATGATGAAAACTACGAACCGCCCGAAACCGACTACGACTCGGGAGAGACCTCTGAGTCGGAAGATGTGGGTGAGTCTCCATCTATCTCAATGGACGATATGACAGAGACAGCGGACGATGGAAATTTCTCGACTCATGAAACGCTGTCAAGTGGGATTTTCGATGAGAAGGATGGTCCTGAACAGTTCTCGGGCCAGGCACTGCATAAAGAGGTGATTGACCTCACCTCTGACAATGAGGAAAGCAGTTCGCAGCGCGCACTGCAACGGGAGTGGCCCTCGGATGAGGAAGCCTATCCTGATACACCCACAAAGGTGCGGTGGAATACCGAGAAAAAGGCGACTCACCGTCTTGTACTCAATGGACATATGGACATGGACTTCTTTGAAAAATTCCGGAATTGGTCTTAGCATGAAAACGACAGAATGATATGTGAAACGTCACGAAGAGAGAATCTATCCCTAGGGGACATTGAACGATCTTTGTTTGTCGCAGCCATTTGAAGGCGAGAAGACCCTAACCAAGGTGTCAATATGCTTTTATAATATTAGTTGAATGAAGACTTCCTGGCAACGCTGTCTGCCCGAACGTATCCTGTAAGTATTATCTACAACAGCTGTAGATACCCAGTACGTGCATTCACGAATGAAGTAAACGAATCGGACATAGTTAGGATCCTACCTCCCTAGGTATCTACCTAGGTAGGCAAGTAGGTATTTATGTAACCCGACCAGTAAGATACCTAGGCAGGGTATCTTGTCATTACCATAGAGAACACCCGTGGACATACTGAGGTCCTAGTATATCAATGTTAGACCTAGAAGAATAAGGAGATAACTCAAGATGCGCATTGAGAGCTCTGTCGAGATTGCCATCCATGGTGAATCTTGCCTTGTGGCAGAGTTGTTGTACAGTTTCCATCACAGGAGGGCCGAACAAATCATTTTGATTTTTGCGTGGATACACATTCATCAGCGAGGTATCTGGGACATGGAAACTCATAAACTATCCCGATCCCCATCCAAGAACTTCCCGTATATCCAGTCCATACCGCTTCCTTCGCCTTCAAAACACCCGGTTTATTAACCTAGAACTTGGAGAAAGACTTGACAGCGCGCGAGGTCTTGGCGTGAACCTTCAACACGTTGAAGCGAACCTATAGAGAAATTTGGAGTCAGTTATCAAGTTCGTAGCAAAACAATCTGGGGTGCCGAATTCGATGTGCTGCAGTAGGCAATGATATGTGGTTTTGCAGACTGCGAACAGGGACGAAAAGAATCACGGATGAACGTACAGTCTTGCTGAGAGGACGGCACTGGCCGACGGTAACCATGTCACCCTCCTCAACACGGAAAGCGGGGGAGACGTGGGCAGACAGGTTCTTGTGGCGACGCTCGTAACGGTTGTACTTGGGGACGTAGTGCAGGTATTCGCGGCGGATGACAAGGGTACGGTGCATCTTGGTGGAGACTGTAGATAATTCGTTAGTAAATCTCCTTGCCTTGAAAAAGACAGTCCCGATTCAACTCACCGACTTTGCCGACGAGGACACGGCCGCGGATGGACACCTGGGAAGTGAAGGGGCACTTCTTGTCTGTAAAAGATTCAAGAATGAGTAATCTGACACAATAATCTCGGTGATTGCGGGTATTCTTTCTGGCATGAGTGGTCTTCTCGATGTTCGGGATTTCGAGTATCGAATGCGAATATTGGCGAGAGAGGGAAACGACAGAGATTCCAGGGCCCTCAATTGCTCCATGCGATCCTCCGGTCGCCCTTTGTATTCGTGAAAAGACCACCCACCCATATATGCCGCCGCAATATTTCGAATAAAAACTCAACGGAGGTCGTGCATACCGATGTAGGTTCCCTCAATGGCGGTCTTGGGGGTACGGAAACCGAGACCGACATCCTTGTACCAGCGGCGGCCCTGGGTAGTCTTCTTGGACGAAGGCTTGGCCTTGGTGTTAAGGAAGATGTGAGGCTGCTTCTGGTAAGCGCGCTCGGACTGGACGGTCAACTCGGTGGCCATTTTTGCGGTGTTGTTCGACGAGGAAGCGGTGTCGAAGAAAGGTCGGGTTGGCGGCTGTCGAAGATGAGGAAGATTCGTTGCCCGTGGAATCTTTGGTAATTCGTAGTGTGCGACACTAGTCCCGATTGGGACTAGACTAATTGGGGTTAGGGCTCTGCGCTTTTGTTTACATCACGTGATTGCGGAGGCAACGCGCTCTGGGCAAGTGCGATAGGAGCAGATTACAGGCTCAGTCCTATTTGATCTAGAGATCTCAACGTTCGGATTTGCGGAATATGCGATCTTGAATTGATATGTAAATGCGCCGATTCTATCGCCGACAATGTCAACTCGACCCGACTCCGCGGCTTTGCGACCGCCACGATCCCGTCGGTCTATCGCTCATGTCTCGCGGTCTAGGATGACGTCTGGTTTGGACAAGGAGAATGCGACAACTGAGATTGGCGCAGCTCAGCCATTTACAAATAATACAAAGCCTGCTATGAAAGACAAGAAATCTCGGAGCAAGAGTCTGGGGCCCGGTGGACTTGATGCTCTGCAGAATTCTAACGGCAATCGTCGCCAGGTAGCTACCAACGGAGCATCGCGCGCGCATATGCAGAGTAATTCTGACTTGAATATTTATAGTCTACGGCCTCCTTTCCACTAAAGTCTATTCTCAAACCTACAGTCCCTGTCTCTCCAGTGCGAACCATCCCATCATTCGAGGAAACGCGCCGACGTACACCAGCTCGTAGTAAACAGCTGACCCATGACGGCACCATGGACGGACATGACCAAAGAGACCAGGGAAAAGAGGGTCTCTTGATTGACTTTGAAACAACACCAGGACTTCACGCGACAGATAATGGCAATGACGACACGGCGAACCCCTTCGATTCATTTAATGCGACTTCTGCCATTCGCGAGCAGATGGCTGCTACCAAGGAGCGCGACGAACAGGAGCGCAAAGATCGTGAACGACAAAATATCTTGGAGAAACGAGCGGCGCGGAGGAAATCAATGGGTTCGTGTGCTCCACTTTATCATAGAAGTGAATATTGACACATTTATCCAGCAAACCGCCGAGTATCCTTTGCCCCCGAGGCGACACTGCACACCTGGAATGTGGTGGAAATTCCGGACGACTCAACCTCCTCCTCTGCTGCGAACTCGACAAGACGCGCATCTGCTGCCACAAACTCTCTGAACCAACCTGCCCCCATCTCGCCCACCAAAGATGCTCTATCTTCACCGGCAGAGTCAGAATTCGGATTCTCTCCTGTTCGCACACAAGATTTAGACCAGATAAGAGGTCGCTCATCATCTGGGGGCGGCGACGATGGCGGCCAGGATTTATCTTCTAGTCCGTTCAGCGGAAGCTCAGTAGGAAGCGAAGATACCGGCGCCCAAAGCCTGGCCGGAGAAGAAGACGATGGCGGTTCTTCAGACTCCGACGATGGATTTGACGCCGAGAGCACGGCAATGAGCATGGATGATATGACCGCGCGCTCGGGCATGAGTGTCCACTCAGACGCGACTCCAAGCTCAAGCTCTAGTGCCAGACTCAACGAAGCACTGCGCCAGGCCGCACACGAAGCAGGAACCGAACTTGATGAGGACGGAGAAATGTCAATGGAAATTGCAGATCAAGAAATAACCGGTGCTTTCCAGCCGTGGATCAAAAAGGGCCAAAGACAAAGCTTTGACTGGGGAGATATTAGCGCGCGACAGGATGAAGAGAACCTGGATCCATCCAAGGAAGCCACTACTCAGGGTTTACCCGAATCAGATGATATCGACGAAGACGAAGACCTCAGCATGGACGTGACGAATGCCGTAGGACGCATTCTTGGCAAGTCCCCCGGCAGTCGCCAGAGCATGGCTCGTCGCCAGTCCGTGGCAGAAGAATCCAACTACGGAGATCAAACTATGGAGATGACTAATGTCGTCGGTGGCATTGCGCAGGAGCATTCACCATCAAAGTTTTCTGGGATTGGCAACGAGGACGAAGGAATGACAATGGAATTCACTTCGGCCGTTGGCAAAATCTTGGATAACCAGCCTGCTTATGCCTCCAAATCTGATCGCATGAACTTTGATCAAGACAATGAGTCTGACGATGGTATGGACATGGAGATAACTGGTGCCATCGGTGGTATCCTACAGTCAGGGATCGAAGCCAATGACAAAGTGCACGCGAAGATGATAATGGAGCTCGAAAGCGACTCTGGTCAGCTCGCTAGCTCGCCTTTCCAAGACAATGTTCGGCAGTCTCCTGCCAAGTCGCCTGCTAAATCACCTCTGCGTTATCAAATTGCTACTGTTGCGTCCGAAAATGGGAGCCCCAGTCTGGCAACCGTGCGGGCTAGGCCTTCTCGGCGTAGCTCCACTCCAGGATCGTCGGGTACGCCATCGGCCAGCCGGCAACGATCACCAAACACGAAGACATCGACTCCGCCCAAACAATCAAACCCCCAAGCGAAGCCTACAACCCCAAGCAAGACACCTCCCTCTAGCAATGTTACTTTTAGAAGTGCTTCACCAAAGAAGCTCTTCCAGCCGGAGCTTCAGCAATCAGCAGATAAGCGCAAGTCTCTGCGCCAAAGTCTGTTCCAGCATAACATAGCAACGGGAGAGTCGACCCCGCTCTTCAAATTGCAACCCCGCGAGAGCCGTCGTTCTTCTGGTCTAGGGATTGACAAAGAAGGTCTTGGATCTCCTCGTGTGGCGGCCTTACTTGACAAGCGCCAGTCGCTTGGAGATAGTACGCCCCGGTTCGTTCCGCAAGGACAGCCCCGATCCGGTGTACGCTTCGAGCATCCTCTAGATATGCAGGCCGAGGAAGAACGTGACCGAGAGGGAGAGGAACTCCGAGAGGATGACCATGTGACGGGGTCCCAGTCAGACCGGGACGTAACCCCAAGCTTGAAGGATATGATCTCAAATCTGAGCCCGAAGAAGACTAGGATTGGTAGCCGTAAGAGTCTCCATGTTGGGGCTGCCCGCGGGGTTTTGGGCAAGCGCCCGGTCGAGCTGGACTTGGATGAAGACGAAGTGGAGAATTCGCCCAAGCGACTGCGTGGCCACAATGTCAGCCCAGTCAAAGGTGTCAAGTTGCCAACACCGATGTTCAGGGAAGGCAATGTTCGTCGGTCGATTCTTTCGCCCGTCCGTAGAGCTGCTAGTTTATCGCCTCCTAAGGGCAGCACTACGCCTTCCCAGCAACCACTGGGTGCCTCCCAGACGTCGACAACTCCTCTCAAGAATGGGATTGATTCTCTTCACATTGCTTCTGATGCTCAACAGCTAGAAGAAGAAGAGAATACTTCTGTCGAGGAACATTCTGTGGAAATTGAGCCTATTCAGTTGCAGGACTTCCTGAAAATGACCAATATTCATTTCATGGAACTTACTACGACAAAAAGACGACACACAACTGCCCCTGGCAGTGCCACCAAGAAGCTGGCACGGCCCTCTGGCGAGAACATGCCTAAAAAACCAGGCTCCATAACGTTTGGTGATTGTGTGGCAGCCGGCTTTTGTACAGTGCCGATGCTTGAACTGTACCAGCATGTAAGTTCTACTATACCCGGATATACTTGTTTTCGCTCACACTGTCTCTAGTCATGCCGGGAGTTGAAATCCTATATTTCTGAAGGCCGGCAAGTGATCCGCTCTATTGAGGCAGAAACATATGCCGAGAATCCAGCTCTCTTCAAGGAGTATGTCACCGCTCCGCCAGATATCCGAGTGATCATGGACAATCAATTCCGAAACGTCAAGACCCACGCCCGTCTACTGAGTAAGTCTACATGGTACGAATGGCGCATGAAGTTGCTTGAGGGCTTGAAGGAAGGGCTCATCCGTCATGCGGAGGAACTGAAAGCAGACGACGATCTGCTATCTGAACGAGAAGAGTTGCTCAACAGGAATGTGCCGCTACTCGTCGAGAAGCATGCCTCTCTCGAGCAAGAGGCAACCAACCTACAACAGCTGGTGGAAGAGATGGAGAGCTGTGATCAAGACGAGCTGCGCAGTACGCGCGGCAAGCTGTCCGACGTGGACTCTGAAATTGCAGCTAAGAGACGGGAACTTGAGCAGTTGCAGGAGGAAGTCAAGGAGAAGACGGCTTTCATTGAGGCCGGAGCCGAAATGCGGGATGAATTCCTGGCACAAATACAGGAGGCGGAGCGTGTGAAAGAAGAGTGCCGTGGCTGGAGTGCCCGTGAGATCAATGAATTGAAGGGTGAGCCTCCCCCCTTCCTTTCTGGAGACTGTTTTTGTGGGTGCAATACTAACCACTGGGAAAACTAGCCTCCGTCCAACGAATTCAGCAACAAACCGGCTGGTCGATCGTTTCGGCCTCGACTCCTTCAGATGCATCAAAGGGACCGTCATTGAAGATGGCTTACCGGGACCAGCTCCAACTAGAGTTCTATCCTGGAGCTTTTGCCTCCAAAAACAGTGGCCAAGACGAGGGAAAGAACTACCCGATGGAACTGACTTTCCAAAAGAATGCCAACGTCTCTCCCATTGTATCCTTGGTCCTCCACGCGCTACAGCACCACCTGACTAGCATCCAGCAGTCCAATGTCGCACCCAAGCAGCTCTTGCGCTTCGTCTCTAGGGCATGGGACCGCACAGTTGCGCTGGAAAACGAAGCTCACATGCTGGAATTCTGTGGTGTCACCCGCCTCACCTTATCCAAGCCTGATGAGGGCTCTCTCTCTCTACGCACACGCTGTACGCTCCTCGCCGACTCCACCGCCTCAACACCTGGTCGTAAAGGCGCTGCCTCAAAGAACAACAATGCCAAGAGAATCGATGTTGACTTCACTGTCCGTACCCGCATTGATAAAGCCAATACAGAGAGCACAATCGGTACCTTGGACTTCGATATTGACGTTCTGGCGACGAAGGTCTATGGTTTCGGAACAGGCAGCAAGTCCGGTCTTCCAGACAAGGAGTTGCAAAGCATTCTCGGCAAAGGCCTTGGCCGGGATAAGGACGGTGGTGTTCAGCTTGGAGATGGCGTGTGGTGCAAGGCTGTCCGCACGCTCACGGGGTCTGTGTTTTAAGTTTTCGAATATTTGCTCTTTTATGATTCGGTTATTGTGGGTTCGGTCTGCATTTGGGAATGAAGGCGCAGAATGAATCTTTTTCATGCCCTTCTTGGGCTCAATGGCGCACGACAACGGGATATCTTGACTTCTGGATCTGGCTGGGCGTTCATTTATACCTGGTCTTTACTTCATATTCACTGATTGATCATTTGTTTTCTATTATACCACACTACTGGTGGCTACATCAACACTCATGAATCCTGGCTAATGCATATACAAAGAAGAGAGTAGAGAGGTCGTGCTTAGGAAAAGGTAAAAAGCAACGCTAACGAGAAACAACACCAAAGAACATCCCGATAAATCCCTAAAACAACCCCAAAAACCCATTAGGCCAGACCGGATCAGCGCCCTGATTCGGATCCTCCTGACCTTGCGGCACGTAGCCATACCCCAGACTCTGAGGATCGAACCTACCAGCCTGAGCTGTATGGCCGTCAATAGCAGGCGCACCATGAATAAACGACTCAGCCGATAGAATCGGCATGGAAGGATACGGATCTGCAGACTGAGTGCCCGTTGGAATGGGGGGCGGAAAAGTGTATTCTGTCGGGAAGAGTCCGGCGAAGAGATTTCCGCCGTGGCTCCAGTCACCGGACATTGGGTACTGGAAAAAATCCGGGATCGAGTTGGCGGTACTGGTGAAGGAGTCTGGGGAGCTGATGTAGTTGATGGGGTTCGGGGTCATGCCTGATGATCCTGGGGCTTGGGCTGCGGTCGTGGAATAGTCTTGGGATAGTTGCCAGGGTTGGATTTGTGGTGTGTGGAAGGTGCTATCGCCTGCTTCATGAAGGAGTGGCGTTGAAGGTGAGTATGTGTTGGGTGGGTTGGCGAGGTATGGGGATTGAGTTCGGCTGCTGTCGCCTGGGTCTGGTATTGGGCTCATGGGGACGACGTAGCCTGAGGAATTGACTGGCGGAAGGCCTTCTAGGGTGTCGGGGATACTGAGGTCAATCCTGTTGGTGTTGGCGGTGCTTGATGTTGGGTACCCGGGAACCGTGGCGGGAGTCATTGCTGTGCGGAGGGTTGTGGGTCGGCGGTGTTGCCTTTGGTGTGATGCTGGCTGTGTCCCAGAGGTGCGTCTCTTGGCTCCTGGTGGTTTATATTCTTGGTCTTCTTCGTCTGGGGCGCGGGCTCTTTTCTCGTCTTTCTCGATCGCAACTCTGGCGATGCGTTCGAGTGTCGCACTCATGCGGGCCATGAAACCCGCGTAATTATTTGAACCTTCACCTGGGGTGAGCGTTGCAAAGAATGCTGTGACCATGTTGAGGGATTGAAGGTCTGCTCGAACTCTTGAATGATGAGTATCCCGCAGGATGTTTGAGAATAGTGTTGATGCTGCCTGAAAGACGTAGTAAAGTAATGACCTGAGGTTTGAGTGTGAGAAATAAAGTTGATATAAACCAGGAGGAGACTTTGGTACTCACCAGGTCCATGCGATGTCTCCCCATGGCATGTTATTGACAACCTTCAAGGTATCTCGGGCAGCCTGTGCACCGATGGCTGCTGATTTTAAGGCATGTGCTTTGCTGATCGCCACGACCTTCTCCGATTCCTTTCTTGCTGTTATCATGTAGTTAAGACAGATAGGTACCCGGTGAATCATGATCACAGCATTGTGATAGACGAAATGGAGACCAATAGAGGCAAAGCCAATCAAGAAGTCGCGGTCAGTATGCTTCCTCTTGGGTTCAGTGAGAGTTGGGGATTCGCGCTTCCATTCCTCAAGCTCTGCATATAGTTCTTTAACTGTCTTGTAGATCTCAACGGGAGGTTTTTCTAATGCCGTAACGGAGTACAATCGACTGTAAATGTGGCTCTTGATGAGCGACATCCGACAGAGCTCGCGGAAGAATGGAATGTTGTTTGCGGTTTCGCCATGCTTATCGCTGTCCAGTTCTTCAGGAAGAGGGACATCGAAATCATCTTGATGTTGTGATGGGGCGTTTCCAATTCTTAGACATGTACTGGAACATTGTTTTAGTACTTGAGACGATACATGAATGGACTTCTCTTACCTTTGATCAATGACAAATGTAACCCAAAAGACGCGTCGTCTCTCCTCTTGCTCAGCCGGACTAAGCTCCGGTCTTGGAATATTTCGATGAAGCCCCATTCGGTGACCGGATCGCATAGCCGCAGTGATCAGTGGCAGAGCTGATTGAGTTCCAGAATTCCCCCGAAGGAAGAACGCCTTCACAAATTGTTAGATCATTCTGTAGTGGCGGAAGGAGTAGGAGACGTACCATGCTAATCAAAGCCTGTACACTCAGTAGATCTGTGCGTTTTAAGGCTAATTCCGTGAAGACCGACATGGCGTTTTTGAAGTATAACTCGGATTTCTCCTTGTCTTTTTCTGACTTGGGACCATTCGAGTACCGATATTCGTACGCCAGGCAGATTACCATGTTGATGTTGGCCCAACGGGCAGCGTCATCACAGGTCTGTTGCGTATATTGCCATTCGACCATTTTCATAAATGATGACTCAAGATAGATAGGAAGCAGACTGTTGGCCGTCCGGAAGAAATCTTTCATAAGAGAGAATACCTCGGACCTTGAAGGCAAAGGCTTAAAAACTTTCGAGGCAAACAGATCGTGGAACACGTCTGGTCGCCATTGATTCCATGGATTTTCATGAACGTATTCAGGAGATATAATTCGCAAGAAGCTGACATCGCCTGTTTTACTCTTAATCCACTCTATACCTGTTCGTGATAGGATTGACAATGAGCACGATGTCCCTGTCCGTTGAGTTAGTCTCGGCAGTTTTATATCACATGGGCTGTACTCCCTATCTTACCGAAATATCGGGAATCATCTCTTTGGTCCGCTGGAAATATGGGTGTGCCCTCAATGAACCCACCCTGCGAGCAAAGAGACGCTCCGAAATTTGACTTTGGACTGGAAGTAGATGATATGTCTTGACTAACTGGTTCGTCGTCATCGTCTTCATCGGACAAGTCGTCTTGGCTCATATCGCTCTCTTGCAAGATGCCTGCCGTCTTCAACAGCGACTCAACCCTGACGAGGCGGTCTTTCAAAGACTTGATATACTCATCACTACTATGGTAGCATTAGCCGTGATCGACAAAAAGTAAATCGGGAAATGGCACTGGATATTACCGTACCTTTGCTGATCATCCCGCTTCTCATGCTGGACCGGAAAGACACAATGCGTATTACGGCGCGTACATTGCACGCAAATTGAACTAGTTCCTTCAACCTCACACTTGGTCTTTTTTCGATGGCACATCTCACAAGCCTAGATAGACGTCATATCGCCGTTAGCAATGCTGGTTTCCCCCCCCTAACCGGAATCCGCCGGGATAGTGGAACTCGGAACGACAAGCAAAACCCACCCTCAGGTGCTGTCCCTTCCATAGCACAGAATCCATGGGCAATGCGTTCAGTGAGGATGACTGGTTCATTGCCTTGGTGGCCAACGGTTGTGGACTGCCTGGGTCTCATCAATGTGCACGCCAAGACCTCGTGAAAAAGTCGCCCCAGCGGAAATGGCGACTAGCGGGAGATCTTTGTTCCTTATTTCGATCTCCTGTTTGATATCTACCTATAGGCAGACATTTAGAATCTGCAGGGAAAGAGGAAAAAATGATATTAATAATCAAAGTCCGTGACGGATGTCGGGACTCTCGGATTCCGTTCTGTGTGCTCTTCCGGGGTACTTTGGTGGACCGGCGGGGTTATGCCCATCACTTGGCTTGCTGCTTCATCCCCTGAACTAAACTTCGTCAACTCGGTTGATCTCATCCGTGGAAAGCAGAAGCTCACAATCCCAATGGCCAAATGGCGAGATAGTCGACCGCGTATGCCTCCGTACCTTAACAATTTAGGACTTTCATAGTCATCTGCCCGGATGGCTCAAGATGATATGAGGGACGCACTCCAATCTCTTTGATGGATGGTGTTCATTTTAGATGTCATTTTACGTGACCATATTATTTTTTCTCCTTCTTGGTGTTATAGTTAGAAAGATGATCACTGGCTATAGAAGGAAGACATGCCAGGCGTATCACTACGACAATATACGAAGGCGGTATAAAGCATAAACCGTCTAGAGGACCTTTTAATATAACAAGCGATTTCTTGCCTTCTTAATGCTCCATGGTCCATACTCTTCCATGGTAAGAAACGGCTGTGTAGCGCCTCTCCTCGAAGGATCGAGGTTCCCAGTATGTATTCGAGGTATTCCTGGGGACAGCTGGCAAGTGTCGAATAGATGAAAATCCTTATTCTGTGAGATTATCAGGTGTATATAAGTTCTTGACAACATGGAAACGTTTAACGGGATATCATTAGCTATCTTACTGGTTAAGCGGATGCCCCTGGGAGTTCGTGTTATTCATGATCCATACAACCGTCGTGCAGCTTCTTGCTAGAAAATTTAGGGTCAGGGTATCCGGTCCCGGTGGGCCGCCTTCATCTCGACAATGATGAAGACTTCGTGTATATGGTTTCCTTCGAGATAACCGTCGGTGTAGGCAGTCATTTTGTTACGACCAGAAGGCATATAAATGGTCTGTGGCCGGAAGTCCATCGACCCGGAACGTTGGTTGTAAGATTCTTGCGAAGGTTGCTCAGAGACTTGTTCACGAATCTGTTCTATTGTTCTGCGGGGTATGTTCCATTCTGCATCCGTTGCAGCTGTCAGAAGGACTCCTAGGACTATCTGTAACTCTTCGTCTTTGGACGTTCGTCTTTAGGTATCTTTCCAGACGTCTTTTTCACTGTCTTTTTGTTTAGATATTTTATTGTCGGCGCTACTAGAATGATAAGATTGTTAGCTATAGAAGTCCCACCTGACTCTCCACACCATCTTTGGGAGCCAACGTGGGATGTCGGAGCTACTACTAGTACTAACTTGTCACTATCAGCAAATCACTGCATCTAGCACCCTTCTTCGTCCTTAATATCATACTACCAGAGATTAACCCTAGTACATGTAGTTATATACTGCTAGAACAGCTCAGTATACTACATATCGTCTAGCCAATCACCGGGCAGTATTTCAATTCGGGAACGGACCTCGTGAAGGACCGAGGACCGACGCATCGTCCAATAAGACTTGGGCCCGCTGGTGACGGGCCGCCACACTGTCCAATAGAAGGGTGTCATCCTTCGGGTCCGGCCCCGTCTGACCCTTGACTGCTGTGTTTGCTTGAGGCCCAGGGTCGACTATGCAGTCCTTAGGACGCAGGAGATCTATTTGGCTCTTATTGTATAGATCACAGGTCATAGCTCCCAGAAAATGTATCGCTTACCTTCTGTAACAGTGGGAGCAAGAAATTGGAAGCAAGATGTACCTACCTAGGTATACACCTACGTGACCCCAAACCCGTAAAAGGTAACCTTGTATATACACGAATTTGTGGGTTGACAGGTACCTGGATGAGCCTATAGATGCCTCGTATTCGAAGGACCTGACCATCTCGGAATATACATGCCATTGGATTGTATACATTACGTGCCCACGGATATACCGAGCCATTTCCCGATCTTCACGCAAGAATTGGGAAATGAATGATCGTCTCAGGCTAATAATAGACGATAGCGTCCAAAGGCCCTTTTTATGCCTTTTCTAGGAGGCTACAGGCAAGAAGGTTAAGATAAGCTTAAATCCTCGGCTCAGTCACTCTCCATACCACCCGTGGACATTTGGACGATCACCACAATCGGACGATAAAGACATTGTATGGACTTCCAAGGTTACAACCCAGTCAGACCTGGCTGACAAATGGAGCAAATGTACTCCGGCAGTAGAAGTTGACACAAGTATTCGGTGTTTTGCCCATTTAAAAGACTACTATTCATCCCAAGACCTCAGAAGACAATCCCTTCACTCACCATGAGAACTTCTACAGTTGGAACTGTGTCGTCGGAGACATGGGCCTAGGTAAGGCTAGACTCCTAAAAGTCCGCGACTACCAAGTTATCACAGTCGCAGAAGTACTACACCGCCAGAGGCGAAAACCAAAACCGAGAACTAACGGCCAGTGAACACACTAGCGCGAATCCATTCAACAGGAATCGAGATCCTTCCCTCAGACCAAGCACTAGTAGTCCAAGCCGACTACGTACTTTCAATCGTACCACTACAGAACGCAGTGGCCACAGCGCGACGAATAGCAGATGGATACGCACTAACATCGACGAGAACGTAGAAGACCAGTTGAAGAGGTCCAAGCTACTGCCGTATATTATCTCGAGCTCGACGCGGTACCCGCCCGACCGGCGTCGGAGACGGCGCAATTTTAACGAGCCAACCACAACAACGGGTGAAGGCCGAGGGTGCCACTTCCTCGATGGCGGAATCATTTGGGGGCCGCCACAAAGCACGCAAGACGAAAGTTCCTTGGAGCTGTCCGGGTTGGACCTGGACCTGGGTTTGCGACACTAGCTAGCGTTCTGAATAAAGGCTTGCCTCAGCTCGGATTGGCGCATCCACCCGTGGATGCGCAAACTATCCTTCTCTGCGCTGACCAAAGGTCTTACTGCGCAGAAGGACTCCATGTTTCCGGATTTGCGGGGCTGGAGGAATACTCCCCACTCGCGACGAATGGGTGATCGCTATGAGTCCCAAGGCATACCGGTGGGAGCATGAAATGTGTGGTATTGAGCCTATTGATGGGGAGGAAGAAATGGGGTCGGGCCAGTGTTTATGGAGGAGCTATCGGACTGTTGCGGAAGATACCGTCCACGGGTAGCAGGGAGGACAGTGGAGCATCGAGTCCGAGGTATAACGATGCTCAGACCACTTCAGAAGTAAGCCTTGAATAATATATTAGCATAAAGCATATGTCATAAGGACGATCGAAGGTATCTAGACACGGGAGGGGATTTCGCATCCGGTGCCAAGCTTCTTTTATTACCAGACCGCGTCATCCGTGATGCGTTGAACGGGCCTTGGACAAATGATATAGAGTATAGAATACAGTTGCACTGGGATTTTTACATACGTACAATCCTGTACGTGTGCCTTGATACTCCATATATTCTAGTACCTTCATCAGGGACTGGTTCCGAGGTAAGTGGAGGTCCCCCTTTTTTCTCGAATAGCTTGATACGACATCTGTATATCTGTTCTAATCTAGAGAAGCTGTGGTTATTTACATATGTATATAATAAACCGTTTATATTATGTCCTCATATACCTCTTATATACATCTCTCCGTATACAAAGCGGTGAATGTCTCCAACCGACGAACCAGAACTCGCGATCACGACATTTCTCCATTCTATCAGATCATCGACTAGCATCTTTTGGAACTTGATCTTTCTCTCGGCCCCCCCTTTTTTTTAAAAGCAACTCCATTTATTTCCCTTTTGATTCGTTCTAGTGGAACTCCCGCATACATGAAGTGACCTTTTACGAGATCGTGAGAATTCAACTTCCCGGTCTTTTTCTACCATCTACATGGTCTCACTCTTATTTGTTTTCCTTTTTGATTTAAACTCTTTTTTTCTACTTTTTTCCTTGATTTATATTAGGTGATTTTCTTTTAGCCGATTCTGATTTTCATAGAAAATCCCGTCCTGATCTGGGGATTTGCAACATCACAAGCCCCTCTTCTCTCTCAACTCACATAACCCTGAAGGTCAAGGGGGCTGAACTTCTTTTTTTTCTTATTTTCCTTCTTCAACCATGCCGGGGGAACGACCTTCTTTGCCAGGCCCAGGTCCCGTCTTCGACAAGCTTGAGAACTTCAATTTTTTGATGTCGCGCCACGATCCAGCAGCCAAGACTCGACAGTACTCATTTGACGCTGATAACGGGCTGGTCCCATTCGGCAACGTGAGTATGGACTACGACCAGACTGAAGGCATGGGCGGTCTATCTGTCAGTTCCTATGAGAGTATAGAAGACGACCGCAGCTCCCTCGATCTTCGAAACTATCCCTATCATGGTACGTGTCAAGCTTTTAAGACCTTGTGCCCAACGTTGCATTTGTTGCGCCATCGCGCCTCTGCGTCTGAGCTTTAGTTTTGGGGCTGGGAATTCCAATGTCTGAAAATTGAAGTTCATCTCCATTTTGCCTGGTTTTATCCCTGTTTTTAAAAGAAGGCCTGGATAGCCGGCTGAATTGCTTCCCTCTGCCCCTACACAATGTGCAAATCCCATTTCGATGTTTTTAAAAAGGCTCGCCGCAAAGCCCAGGATGTTGAGCAATGGAATGCATCTCCCATCTCCAATGGTGGGAGGAGATCACCGTCGGTGCTCCTAATGCATAAGCACGC